CTACATGTGGAAAAGGCTCATGGGACATTTTAGTGTGATGTGTGTTGCACATTTTTTACTGCACATTTTACTGCATATGTCACCTGTTCCTTCATGTAGCAAAACGTGTGCTTGTTCTGTGTTTGGTGTGCCGTTAAAAACTACACTGAAAGTGCAACTAGGTAATTTTAGGTGTATAAAAGTGACTATGCACTATACAATCTAATTGCCCAATTTCTGTACAATCTCCTTTAGATTTACTAAAACTTTATAATAGGAGGACACAGCATCTATCCAATCACCCAGCCTAAGCCCATCTGTAGAGACGCTGGGGTAGCCAGGCAAATGCACGTGGGGAGAGATCCTGGGGATGCTGTGAAAAATAGTTGATAGGTGAATAGTGTGTACTAAACGAGGTCAGTGGAGAATGTGTGTGCTAATGAGATCAGCTGGTAATCTGCTTCTTGGGTCCTACTGGCTCCTCTGTCCTCTGTCTACCCAGAAATTGAAAATTTACCAAAAGGCTAAGGTAAGACCTTGCTCTCCAGATCAAAAGAGAGCTTGAATATATTTGCAACTGAGGTGCATTAATAGTATATTGGTGCATAGGGTACCTGGCTTTTATAAGAAAAGAAAAAAAAAAAAGTGAACTTCGCCTTTAATCCACAGGCCTCAATCGGCTCCATAGTTTGCTTGGACCAAACATTCTATTTTTGCACCAGTTCACACTCAGACATATGTTCATCGCTAGAGTGTTTAAGGTATAAAGTGAGTCACTGCTAACTTGCAGTCACTTCATGCCAAAAACCAGATCACACTCCCTAAACTAAAGTGAAACTTTGAAAATAATTTGATGAGAAAATATCCATCCAGCAGAGCTTTCACCTTACAAAGAAGAATGTATGGGAATGCAAAAATAAAAGCAATATTAGCCATATATGCCAATCTTAGTAAATCACAATCTGCTCATATCATCCTCCTAAATGAATTTGAGATTGGGGAAAGTGTGGTCACTAAGCTAAAAAAAAAAAAGTCAACTTGATACGCAAGGTCACGTATTCCCACTTCTCATTTACTCTGTAATAATGCTCATGACATGGCCAAATCATTTTTACTTTTAGTGTGCATACCTGTAAAAGAGTAAATATAATAATCTACCCACGACTTGGATGTTTAAATTACTGCTTAAATGAAAGAGCAGCTTTAGACATTCTCAGATTAGGAAAATTATTAGAATGAATTTTTACTGGAAGAAATCTAAAAGGTGACTTATGTCTGCAGTTATTGGGAAAAGCCCAGTGGATGACTTACTGTATTTCTGATCTGATTTCCTACACATGATAAAGATATCATATTTGCCTTTTTTCCTCTATTTCTACTGACCGACAGTTTTCTTCACAAGCCCTAGATGCCCAAAGAAATATGCTTCCCCCTAGGAAGGAGGTTCACCACATCACTGCTGTAATTTATATCTAAAAATCACTTATCAATGGGGATGTCAAGTCTAAAAAGGTTAGAAGGCAGACCTCAGGGACACATTCTTCACCTTGCATAAACATAAGAGGAAATTATCATCCAGAGGCAAACACTGGATCATGCCCCCGGAGAGTAAAAGCCCTTCTGGCCTGTGCTCAAAGACATTCTATCCTTCTTATGTTTGCAGACACTGAGATGACATCTGATAGTGAGCGCTGGCAATGTTTGAAATGTACCTAAGAATAAATACATCAGGGTGAAACTATGCATGCCAAAATAGTATGTAAAATCCTACAAAGCAAACTGCAGGTGTGCAGGCACTTAGCAGACCTATTACAATTCACTATGAAATGCCCATTTCTAACACTTTCACATTTACAGTTCAAGATACACATGGCTGAGTGGTTAGAACTCCCATCTGGCAGCAATAAGGTCCTTGGTTCAAGTCCCAACCATAGCACTACCTGCCCGGAGTTTGCATGCTCTCCCTGTGCTTGCGTGGGTTTCCTCCGAGTACTCTGCTTTCCTCCTACACTCCAAAGCCATGCTAATAGGTTAATTGGATCCTGTCTAAATTGGACCTAGTATGTGTGTGTATGAATGTGAGTTAGGGGCCTTAGATTGTAAGCTCCTTGAGGGCAGGGAATGATGTGAATGTACAATACATATGAAAAGCATTGCTTAAATTGCACTGTGCTATACAAGTACCCATAATAAATAACTGAATACAGGAACTGCATAAAAGTCGATTTTTCATAAATTTTTATAAGCAGATATTCTATTACTCATATCCACCTCTGCAGCAAATTAGCATGGGAACTACATCGGATTACAGAACATAGGAGGCTGGCAAAGCCATTCATACTTTTGCTACGACATGTACATGCCAAGTACACTATAGGTAAAAAGGATGTTGATGCTGCTAATGCAGAAAATAATCAATATATATTATATCAAATCAATATATATTAAGTCATGGTCTCCAAAAGCTTTGTTATCATAAATCATCAACAGTATAACTTAATTTCTCCATTGACCTTTTTCATAGGCACGTGAAAATCCTACATAAGATATACTGGGAGAAATCTTATTCTTTTGAATTTTTTTTACAGTTGTTGTGTTCTGAACCCTCAATACCCTATGTGTTGAACTAAACATGCTTTCAGTCCATGATTTTGTTTTATTTTATAAAACTTTATTAAACATATTAACAAAAAATAAACAATAGAAAATATCCTGGCAAATGGGTTGCTTTACCTAATGCTGACATACTGTAAAGCGGCATTCCTATTCGTTCATCACCAATATTTCAAACTGAATACAACTCTGGGCATCCCTAGAAAGATTGTTTGCTCTATATGCTAGGTAATTACCATACCTAAACACAGCATCTTATATGTTTGTAGGCAACTCAAGATGGATTTTCCTGGCCAGGTGCAACTGAATAGTGACACCACCCATCAATAAACCCCAAACACTGAGGCATCTAGTAGCAGAAAAGAAGACAACTCAATTAATGGTGAGAAATGCATTAATAGTTGCTTTTTGTTTTATCTTTTAATTGAACAGTAACTTTTTGGCTGGAGTTTTGCTTTAAAGGTTAAGGTATGGCAATTTTTACAGTTATATTGCTTCAGCTTGGATGTAATGTAAGTATGTTAGTGCCATACCTTTGAGATATCCATGGAAGGAGGCAATCATTGTATAAGGCATCACTACTACAGTTATTCTGCTGGTTTCAGTGTTTCAGGTCGAGCGGCTGTCCTGCTGCTTAACAAACACAGGAGGTCACACGCTTGGCACAGACGCCATTCACAAAACACCTTGCATTTCCTAAAATGAGGTTCTCTGATTGAATGAGGTGAAGATAGTGGCATCACCACCCTGATTCTCCACCTCCTCCAAACAGAACATTTGCATTAATTAACAAAATACAAAGTGTTCCATGAATGGCGTCCATGCTGAGCAAGCGACCTCCGATGTTTACAATGCAGCAGTGCCCACTCCAGTAATTTCCAACCTACACAGGGATCCCATAAGTATAGCTAATGCATACTTACAATGGTACATGTGAATCTGCCATAACTGGAATTAATCTTTAACCACAAAATATGTGCATCTAGACAGACCCTCCCTGTAAGATTAAACTCTGGGCAGAAAAAATACCCTTGCAGTGTGTGCTATAATCTTTTTTTTTTTTTTTATAGGGTGTGACCCTCAGTAGACATAAGGTGGCCCCTAAAGATTTATTCTATTCTTTGCGATCCACCGAATTAACCAACAACTATCTGTCCTAAAACTTTATACTTTTCCTAACCTAAAACATCATATTCACCTCTTTAATCCTTAGCCTTCAGCTACTATAAACTCCACATTTTGCTGTTTTCAGCATTCCCCCTGCTTTCCATTTTGTTTCCACTCTTCTGTTTCTGTCTCAAAGTGATTCTAAAGCCTTATTTTTTTTTAAAGAAAAAATAACAAACATGTCTATACTTACCTGCTGTGTGAAGTGGTTTTGCACATCCACTCCTCTTCTTGGGGCCCCTACAGGCTCTCCTGGTCTCTCCCTCCTGTCAGGTTCCCCCACAGCAAGCAACTTGGTATGGGGGGCACCCGCTGCTCCGTGTCCATTCACACACAGAGCCGCGGCTCGGCCCCGCCCCTCTCTCTCCTCATTGGCTGTGATCAACAGTAGTGGGAGCCGATGGCTCCAGCTTCTGTTTCAGCCAATGAGAAGAGGGAGTCCTGGGATAGCAGAGACTCCAGTGCACATCGCTAGATCAAGAGGGGGCTTACACAGAAGGATTTTTACCAGAGGGGGCTTACACAGAAGGTAAAAAACCTTGAGCCTTTAGAACCACTTTAATATTATGATGCCTTGTAATAACAATACTACTTTCATTACAGAACATACTGATATTTGACAGCACTTTTATGCTCAAATAATCATTCCCTACCAATACAGTCTTATCTGTTATTGCTATCTTATCACACAATCCGATCACACATCTTATTGCAGTAATGACAAATAAAACATCAGTGGTGTGCAGATATTATAATTGTGCAGTTTCCATAATTTCTGAAACATCAGCTTATCTCAGATGTGTTCACACTAGTCTATTTGTATTAACAGTTTTGCTAATAAAGCTAGGTAAGGAAAAAGCAGATGGCATTACACTATCCACTCCTAAAATACAATTTATAAAGTAAGGCACAGTAAAGTAAAAAAATATTTCTGGTAGCATACTAATATATTAACACTTTCCAGTCCTTTACTCTCAATTATAGCCATCTTCTGAACTGGCAGTGAGCTCTCCATTTTCATTAAGAGGCCATTGCAGGGCTACAAGAACCCAGCGGTTTACAGGCAATGCTTAATATTGTAGTTTCTTGGGTCCCAGAGCGTTACACATCGCCTAGAGATGCCACCCATCAAGCATGCAATTTCTCTGCATTTTGGTATGTGTGTGTTTCTCAAATTGTTTTCGTTCATCAAACTCTAGAAGTTTGATCTACACCATGTACACCAGGCAATATTAACTTACATTTTCTATTGTGTGTTTCCAAGGCTTGTTCTAGGTCCACGATCGTTTTGCCAAGCAATGCATCAGCTTTCAATGTATGGTGGCTCCAGACCTTAAATTCAAGTGTAGTTTGTGGGGTTACGTTCCTAAACGCAAGAAAAACAAGATTTCAGAAAAAAGTGGGATGTTTTAGGATGATTAATTGGCTTTTCAGGGGCAGGGGTTACACAGTAACCATTCAAACTTTAGGTGCAAATTGCTTTTTAGAGCACCCTATGATTGCTGGCTACTGCAGCATTTTCTATAAAAGAAATGTACTATCCCTAAACTATGCTTAGGCATTGCTTTAGTGCAGAACACGGGTATTCCCTAAATAAAATTCTGTGTATACCCCAAATTTACAACACATTGGGGTTGATTTACTAAAAGCAAATATACTGTGCAATGCAAGTGCAGTTGCTCCAGAGCTTAGTAAATGAGGTCAAGCTTCACTTTGTGACGAATACCCAATCACATGTAAGGAAAATAAAAAAACGGCATTTTCGCTTGCACGTGATTGGATGATGGAAATCAGCAGAGCTTCCCTTCATTTCAAAGCTTCGGGGGGGGGGGGGGGGGGAGGGGGGGGGGGGGAGAGAGGGGGGAGAGAGGGGGGGGAGAGGGGGGGGAGAGGGGGGGGGGAGAGAGGGGGGGAGAGAGGGGGGGGGGAGAGAGGGGGGGAGAGAGGGGGGGGAGAGGGGGGGGGGGAGAGAGGGGGGGGAGAGAGGGGGGGGAGAGAGGGGGGGGAGAGGGGGGGGGGGGGGGGAGAGAGGGGGGAGAGGGGGAGAGGGAACGCTGCTCTCAGGCACAGCCCTGAATCGACATCGGGCTCAGGTAAGTATTTAGGGGGATGGAGGGGGGGGGAGCTGACCATTGAAGGAATTTTAGCTTAATGCAGAGAATGGATTAAGAAAAAAAAAAATATTAGGCCTTTACAACTACATTAAACTAATTTCCTATCTTTACTAACGGTCAATATTTATTGTTTGAGAGTCTCTCCTGTTCATTGTATTGTTCCATCCATTCATAGCTCCATCTAGAAGTCGTCTGTCTGTGAGCTGTAAAGCCATGCACAGTTCAACACCAATTCCTAACAAAAAAAAAAGGGCCAAATAGCACACAACCTGATTTATGTAGTCAAAATTGTGGAGTAATTATTATTATTATTGAATAAAAATGGAAGATTTTTGACTGGTTGTTTTGAACTATATTGGACCCCTCATTAAACTCACATGAATTAACAGGGAACAATGGCAGTACCAAATCAAAATTAGTTTTCCAAGTAACAAAATACCTCTTATACCCAATAAATAAAACAAGGTCACTCCTGAGCTAGCAAGCACAAGTAAATCGTAAAAAGAAAAAAAAATGTAATAAGGCTATAATTTCCTGTTAATGTTGAACATCAGGCTCCCCCATAGGTTGCCCCTTGTGCAACTGAAGCTCTCCAATGCAGTATTTTACACATTTTATATACCTTTTTTCTATATTTTCTGAGCAGTTACATTACACACAGGCTCTTTTTTTTCTCCCCAAAATTGCCGGTTACTGATATGACATCGGTGCAGCTCTTTGCATTAATACACTATCAATGAAGGGCACCATGTTGATGCCCCCTCAGGGGGCGGGGTCCTGGTGCCCCCCATTCACAGTATGGGTGTCATTTAACCCAGAAGGCTGAGAACATCTGGCAGCAAAAAAAGCACAGCAGGGGGATTTATATTGGATTGAAGATAAGTATTGCAGCATGAGCTACTTTATTATTTTGGTAACTGGCTGCAGGTCATTGTTATTAAAGTTTAAAGTTGGGCTTTAAGTCTCTTTGCTTTATGATGTTTCTGACATGAATTTATTCACTTCACAAAGGACAGAGAACCAAATCACAGCACTCTTGTTTCAGAATAGCTTACAGTCAAATGTAGCATTTCCAATAAAACATACAGATTACAGGGACAATAAACTTACAGGTATGTATCTGGTGGAGGAAAGTGCAGCACCCACACCAACTTTATGTATATAGCACTCTTAAGAAACTGAACCTAGAATCCCAGTACTATAAGGCCAGAGCGCTTATGACGAGCTAAATCACTAGCACTTACTGGCAAAATGACTTCCTGTGTGCATGTAATTGGTTTTGACCACTGTTTGGAAATGGCTAGTTGTCACTGATAGATGCACATAGAGGCTCATATACAGTAGATTGCTATAATAGTTTATTTCAAAATCCATAAATTTACTGGAAACTATTATCTTAAGAGTTCTTTAAGGACATACACAGTTAACTGTTCTTCCCATTTTGGATTGCTCGAGCTGCTTGCTTTTGCAGTCTTCTTTGTTTCTCCATCAACAGCCAACTCCGTATACACTGTTGTTCCAAACCAATTCTTCTTTCTCTTCAGTTTGGCACAAGATACTGAAATTGAAAAAGAAAAAAAAAAAGCTGAAGCATTCTCCAAGGTGCTGCAATTACACTGTCACTCTTGGCCGTTATTTTACACTTGAAATAGTTCTCTGAATGCAGGACACAAAGATGTTTGCATGTAATAAGGAACTGTGATGAAGACAACTAAAGAAAAAACACTGCCACAAGTGTGCCTGTACTCCATGAAGTATATTATTTATGCCAAGGCTCAAATCAAACACCTGCATAATTAAAAGGATAACCACAGATAAGCATCTCAAATTATCTCCCGACACCTCCTGAAAAGGTGTACAAACAGAAGTGATAATTCTGGATTTATACAGATGAGAACACTATGCGCTAGGTGTGGCTGTAATTCTCCTCTTGGTTTTCATCTTGCACACCTGGATGCACTACTAGCTCATTTCCCTAAGGCCGGCCATACATAGGGTGATTTCTGAATGACTTTTCGTCCGAAAATTGGACCTAAGAATAATCAGTTGATTTTCGCTCTGTTAGTGGGGCAATGGCACTGGCCGATTTTCATTTATTGGGAATGCTAGAAAATTTGTGAAAAACTACCGATTTTCAAAATCATTGGTGGCACCATCGGATTACAAAACTAATGACGTTTTCGATTGAAAAATCGTTTGGAATTCGACCCATGCATGGCCTGCTTAAGTTTAGGGAGTATCAAATCGAAAGGACCAGACCCTGTATTTGTGAAATTGTTGGTTAATGTGTTCTCTGGTTCTAGGGATTGCCATGTAAGGCTACTTTCACACTGATCATGGCAAAAATGCATATGCATTTTTAAGTTTTTGCTGTGGTGCATTTTTGCAGCGTTTTCCATTGATTTCAATGGGGAGGTGCATTTTTCTTACCACACCAAAAATGCAACAAGCAGGATTTTAAAAACCGCACTTGACTAGCATTGGATCAGTGTGAAGAGGACCATAGGAAAACAAGGTCACATGTTTTTCATTCACTTTACTTGCTAAAGCAGAAGAAAAACAGATCAGTGTGAAAGCAGCCTAAGTCTGCTGCAGTCTTGCCCAGACATAAAAGAACGAGAGAGGCTAAACAGCACAGTATAAGACTAACATCCAGAGGCACTATGAAAGATCTACTGAATCTGAAAGTGGATTATCCACTTGATCTCCGGACGATTTGCCCCCCTTCATGACCAGGCCATTTTTTGCTATACGGCGCTGCTTTACTTTAACTGACAACTGCGTGGTCATGCAAAGCGGTACATAAATGAATTTTTTTTTTCCCACACAAATAGACCTTCCTTTTGGTGGTATTTGAAAGCGGTATTTTTCAGCAGATTTTCTGATTGGGTTTACTAGGCCTATGGTATATCCAAGACAAAGGATTTACACAGCAATAAAGATTTCCTAAAGAAAACACATACTGCCTCCCTGTAGACTCAACATCTCTACTTAAAAATGAGGTACCATGTGGTCTTCGAGTACCTTCATACCACACAGTAAACATTATTGTGTGCATAACACGCGTACCACTGTGTACTTTGAGGATGCGCACTGCCATGCACAACAAATGCATTGCCGTGGTTGCTTTTTTATCCAATTTGTATGGATTTCTAATGCCCAGAAGTATGTTGTGATGTGTTTCAGCTTGTTGCAATGCACTGAGCAAAAATTTAATGTGCTGCCTTTTTTCAGAACTGCAATGGTGTCAACTGATGTCATAGGACACTTTGGCAATTTGTTCTTGCATTGGGTCGGTGATAGGCGAGGCTGCTCGACACAGAATTTGTAATCTAGCCCTCAAAAGGACACGAAAAGACTATATGACAGTCTAAATTTTACACAATATAAAAAAATTCCAAATCCAGTTACCAAAAGTCACACAAGCCTTGTAATGTAAAGAAAGAAAAAAAAAAACTTCCTTTACACTCCCTGACTTAGCTGAATTCTCCATCATTTGTTTCACCAGTACTCTCCTTCCCAAACACTGCAGCCTGTAGCGGGAGAGATTCAGCAAGAGAAGCAATGCTATCAATCTAGAAAGCAGTGGATAGGATTAGGTGTGGTCACATGCTTAAAGCTACACCCCACCAGCACCATTCTATATCTCACTGTAGTGCAAGAAGGCACAGGGTGGCAACTCTGCTCTGAATTCAGGAGCAGTGCAGAACTGTTGTCACCCCATCAACAGGAAGCTGCACTGAAATTCATTGGAAGGATCAAAAGGCCTCTTATAGTCTTAGACCTCTTTCACATGGGAGTTCTGTATTTCATCTGTCCATTTATGGATGAAAAACGGATACCCATGTATTCCTATGGACTAGCGGATGTAAACGGATGATCATCTGTTTATATCCATTAACTTCCGCATCCATTAACATCTGCTTTTTTGAACGGAAGAAACCCCTATTTTTCTTCCATTAAAAAAAACAGAGCAGCAGAAAAATGGGTGAAAATGGCCAACAACGGACAAAAATGGCCAACAACGGATGTAAACAGACAAAGAATGGATGTAAATGGAAAAAAAAAAATGATGTGAACTGATGCGTTTTTTCTTGGAAAAACCATGACTGAACTGATGAAAGAAAGGAACGCCCGTATGAAAAGGGCCTTAGGGATCAAAATGCCTCTTAAGAGAATCCCAGAGCACCACCTTCTTTCAGTCTACAAAACTGAATTCTATGAAGTAAATAAATGCAAACTATACATTCATTTTGACACAACAGTCACTTGGCACAAAGCTAAACCTAAAACTTTGGCTCCCAATAAAGTCACCTTTATACTACACTTACAACTGCAAACCACAACTGGCAGGCTAAAGCAACTAAAGTTTTAATACAATGAAAAGTGAACCTAAAGCTTCAATCACACTTGCGAATGGGGCTGTTAGCGATTACATGTGGGAGACCAAGCAGGGGTACCTGGTGACAGTCTACATCCATGGCCGATCAATTGCAGGTAATTGCTCCATGATCAATTGCTTTCAATGGAGCTGCCACCGACAGCTAATCGCTGGCAAGCCCAGATTGGTCTCCCACATGTAATCACTAATGGCCCCATTCACATATGTGAATGGGGCCTAAAAGACATGACACAAATTTAAACCACCTAATAAAATGGAAGCAGCACTGACAAATCTCTTGTAACTAACCTGATTCCTTTCACAGCTGCTACCACTGAGTGGGGATGTATGCGTCACTTATGTTTTTATTAGGCTGTACAAAATAAAATGTTTTTTACATTCACTTCTGTGCATTCACAAGCCCTTATTCATCTCAGCAGAAACATTTCAAAATCTGTTTAAATGCTCTTCAGATTAAAGCCTCAAATCCTGACTGAAATATACATGCAAGGCAAGCATTACTCGACACGAGACATCTTTTTACAGCAGCTGTACAGATTAATGCAGTGAACTGCACCAAAAACATTTTTCAAAGTTGTGTGTGTGTGTGTATCTCTCTCTCTCTCTGATATATATAGCGCTCTCTCTCTCATCTCTCTCTCTCTCTCTCTCTCTCATATATATATATATATATATATATATATATATATATATATATCTATCCATATCTCTATCTATCTCATATATATATCTATATCTATCTCTCTGATACTGCCGAAGTTAGCAATATAGTTTGCCGGTCATGAAATTACACATGATGAAGTGAAGGCATTCAATAGGCAGACTGTCCCTTGGATGTGTTCAACTCAGTGTTTTTTGTAAAGATTTTCAACCCCAAGAATTATGATTGACTAAGAATTCCTATCTTCTCTTAGGAAATGAAGTTCTAGTCTCCTTTTCACATCACTAAAATAATTACTTTTTAGCTGCTTATTAGATGGCTTAATATGAGTTTTAGACAAAAGGAATAGCCACTCTGAGACTCACTGAGACAATGCATCATTCACCTGGAAAAGTGTTGAAATTAAAAGCAATTTTCACATGTATACTTGCATCCCTTTAGTATGTCAGAGTAAAGTAAATAAAGTGTAAAAAAGTAGTAATTGCTTATTCTACAATGATATTCCAAAATGACCTAGACAGATTTGTTGGTAGCCATAGAAAAGATTATAAATAATTGGATCACAGTGATATTTCAGACTGTTTGGTGTAATTCGTATCATGCATGTCTTCAATCTTGTAATCAGTAAACCTCTTTAAAAAAGGGAGAAAAATAGTCACTCTGCCTTTTGGCATCTTCATGCGCACCACCCTGCACATGGACTAGAGAGAGCAAAGAGAGAGTTTACTAAGGAGATCAGAAAGAAGGCTATAAGACCTCCAAGCAGCCTGAAGTTCCCATGACTAGGAGATGGAAATACTAAAGTTTAAGGTCCATGGGAATGTAGACAAGGACCGGGATGTGGTTGCAAAAGGAAAAAAAACACGTGACACTTGATTGAACAGAAGGATAGTGCAAATGGTGGACAAAGACGCAAGCAAGAAAAAAAACTTTCAAAGAAAGCCAAGCTGTACTCCAAGGTCAAAGTATGTAATTGTCCGATTGCCCCATCTGTTGGTTTTTTGAGAGACCGTGGGCTTAAATGAAGGAGACCCAGGATGACTCTGTTGGAAAAATAAAAACAAAAAACAAAGCCAGACTAATTTGCTGAAATGCCTATTGACAAGCAACAACACTTCTGCAAAAATGTCCTTTGTACAGATGAGACAAAACTGGAGCTTTTTAGCAGGTCGCATCAGCTCTATATTCACGACAAAAAATAAAAGCTTACTAAGAATAAAGCACAGTACTTACTGTGAAACATGAAGGTGGCTTGGTAAAAGGTAGGTAATTTGAAGTGGAAATTTAAATATACCTCCAAGGATCACAAAGAGTAGTTTTTGTACAGGCAAAGATATGTATAAAATTACAAAATGTATTATTATACAGGATTTATATAGCGCCAACGGTTTGCTCAGCGCTTTACATTATAGTGGGAGACAATACAGCAACAATACAGTTCAATACAAGAGGGATTAGAGGGCCCTGCTCCTTGGAGCTTACAATCTAGGAGGGTG